GAGAGAGAGAGAGAGAGAGAGAGAGAGAGAGAGAGAGAGAGAGAGAGAGAGAGAGAGAGATACGTATATATATATATTCAAGTACTTTGCAACAAATGTCCCTCATTTGTCAGAGCCCATGGAGCAGTGGAGCTAAAGCACACCCACCGAGCAGAGGATCATTAACATTCAGGAGCTGTAACCATGTGTCCCACTTTCCAGATAAACCACTGACATGTTAAATGAGGTAGAAGTTAATGCCTCTCTGTTGTCACGGGAGCAACAGACGTGCTGACTCACCGGGAGGGAGGTTTTTACAAAGTGGTGTCTGTTTTAAAACCCACCTGTCCTCTAAAAAGAGTCCACACCATCTAACTTGGCTAAGTAGGTAAATGTGATTGAGTATCGATCCTCGTATTTGAGGTTTAGTTTCCATCCATTGCTTTAAAAGGACACAGGAAGAGACGAGGGAAGAAGTCCTTRGAGGGACACGCACACACCCCACTGCTCTGAGGTCTCTTCTTTCTCCTCAGCATCTAAAAATAATGTCTATGGCACACTTTCCAGACTCCCTGAGACTCCAGAGGGGCAAGAGCACCAATTCATGAACACAATAACATATAACAAGGAAATATAAGCTCCTACTCATTTATATTCCTGTTAACGCACCTTTTATGGAGCCCACATAGTGACATTGGATAAAAAATAAATTATCTCGAGGTCACAAGAAGATAGCTCATGGCCACGGGATTATAATTGCAGAGAAGACATGTCATGTTTTTAACTCTTTCTTTTTCACATAAAATCACTCAGCTGGGGTCTATGTAAAGTGGAACTGCCATGCTTTGGTCAGAATTCCTCCTTACTGTAACTCCGCAAGCCCCTCTTTCAACTTTTACTGAGGTTTGTCTCAGATCAACGTGTTTTGAGGCTGTCTCTTTAAATCTAAAGCTTTACACCCCACCACCCTCCTGTGCGGTCCATTCTAGAGCGGTTTACAACTATATAACAGCGTATAAATGTTTTATTTACCAGTTAATTAAAAGATGTCAACAATGGAAGACTTGTCCATCCAGTCTTACACGTTGGAGCCAAAGTCTGACCCCTAGCCAGAGGAGAATGAAGACCACCAATTTGTAGTCAGTAAGTCCAGACCTCATTTGACAGTTCTGTTCTAATAATAATAATAATAATAATAATAATAATAATAATAATAATAATAAAGTGATAGATACCTTTGAACAGTTAAAACCAAAAACAACGTATTCATTACAAATCTGACTCCAACATTGTCTGTATCTTTCACAAAAATTATTTTGTGGCCATGCATTATTTATMTTGTGGCCATGAGATAATTATGTGTTGCCACTCATTATTTTATTTATTTTTATCCAGTGTCACTATATGGGCTCTGTACACAGCCACTGTTGCACCAAATTTCATTTCAGTATTCGGAAAACATGACAGAGTTATAGCGGTTTTTCACTTAGCTAAGGTTGATTAGCTGTGGCAGCCAATTTTTAATCGGGTTGTAGCTGTACCTCCAATGATAACTTTCTGAGAGATTAATTGATTTTTCTCCAGTGGTTCAAGAGATGTTTTGTACGGAGCCCGCRAGGGGACAAGRGAGATATTTTTTTCTTTTGCRTTCCCACACAAAAGTCGTTTATCACTGTTGTGCCTGCTGGTTTATTAACTAACTCACATGTTCACCATAAGCGAGTTAGCCTACTGCTTTAATTCAGCTTCAGAATGAATACATCACACAGCCACGCATGGAAGTATGTCATATGCCGATATTTTAACACAGTGCAGCCACGCAAAATCAACGTCAACTTAACGAACTTGTTGCGAGACATCCTGTTTTGATAACCAGATATTTCAAAATAAAAGTCTGATTTAATTCAGTTCATTTACAAAACAATCTTGTGCGTGGGAACGCAAAACAATTTTGCGGGGTAACGCAAAAGTATTGCGAGGTAACGCAAAGATATTGCGAGGTAATGCAAAAGTATTGTGTGGGAACGCTAAAGAAAAAWAACCCATGTCTCCTCGCTGGCTCCGTAGTTTTGCTAATAAACAGTTAATGGTAAAGTTTTAATTGGTGTATTCAGCTCAGAATATGTTTTGGGAATAATGCTCAGCTACAACGTCACCAAACTTTAATTGTAGCTGTGGCGGCCATTTTGAAAAATAGTTGACTTCAAAAGGTAACCCATCGTAAAGGAATAACAAACCAGAAATTCATTCAAATCCATCCAGAAATATTGGCTTCATCTTTGGCAAACAATAATAAAAACAGATAACAAAGGTGAATCATTTTTTGATTATTTTTATTCTCCTTTTCAGAAACAATGCTTTCATTTAGAAATAACACGCACAGATCATCCTGCTCTCAGCTGCTCAGTTTGGTTTGGAGGCCTCGAGGTCTCACGTCAAAGTCACACACKCTTTCACCAACCTGCTCACGCACACACGCGACTGCACACACCTGCACACGACGCCACTGTTCCCCCAACAAAAGGCATCCACGCAGGATTATAGTGGCACTAAGGAGATATTATAATCATAGCATCGCCATGGCCAAACATAAAAATAAAAGCCAAGCTGGTGCCAAGGCAGAGCCCGTTGTTTTTTTAAGTCTGCTATTGCTTTATAAGGAAATTGTGTGGAAAGCTCACACTTCACTTTATCAATATGATAGGAAGACCCTGAAGAGCTGCGATGGCACAGAGAGCGCTGATATTTACAGTACAGCCTGTAACACACACTCACACACACACACACACACACACACGCACACACACACACTTACACACACACAAACACACACACAATTTCAAACATGCTTCCCAGAAGCAGTGAAATGGTAACATGTCTTGGACATCATATAATATGTCAGAACAAAATACATCATATACAAAGGTAAAATGACAAAACACTTTCAAACAGCGACTCGTTCTTTTGGATTAAATCATCACTGAACGTAGGAACAGAAATGTGAAAATCCAACGTAAAATTATTTAAAGCTAAKTTATGGACCCATTAAGTGTCTCCTTGATGTGGTTCAGATTTCTCCTGCAGTCCTTTTTCGTTAAACAAGTGCACTTTTCACAACACAGTGCTGCCACAAATCCATATTTTTAGAGTATACATGTTTTTTTACGCCACTTTCAAAAAAAAAGTTGATATAGTGTTAACATTTAAATAGAGTCACAGAGGACCAAAGAATAAACAAAACAAATTATAATCATAATTACTGATGCTGGCTGTTCTCGTCAACCTTTTTTATTTTTACAATGCTGATGTTTAAAACCAAACTAAACAATAAATAATAAAAAGTACTTTCTGTCTATAAAAGCTCACCCTCCTTAAAATACATGATTTTAAACATGAATTCAAAGGATCTGAACAACTTGTTTCACTTACAGAACTGGAAACTAACCCTGGACTCAAAACTGGCTTTGAAATGTATAATTTACAATATAAATAAGTACAATGCAGATTAAAGACACCTGACGCTATGAAAAATAACAAACTCTAAGTCAGTACAGTATGGCTCAGCACCGTGAATGTGGATGATTAGCCTCTGGAGCCCCCGGGACGAAGCTGGGCATTTGGGGGCTCAGATCTTGGCTTCAGGACTCAGATCTAACGGGAGGAAAGACGAGCGGATCCTGTGAGCTTCACTGACACACAGCTGACCAAAGGCCTTGTTGTACCATTCTGGAGATCTGCCCCTGGAACAGAAACACAAAACACATCAATGACTAAAAATGTAGTAAATAACACAATTAGGATTAAAGGCCTTGCTTGCCTTGACCACCTTTCAAGCCAGAGTTTTAAACTGAGATTAATTTATCCTGAAAAACAAAGTTTTAGCCTTTCTGATCAAATCTCAAGCACTATTTCAAAATTTGGCGTAATCCATTAGTGCTCAGCGAATATATCGGGGAGGACTCTCAGCTACTACCACAACAAGTTTTCACTCTGTGAAAACAACTGTGACATAGCTTTTCCAGCCTGGAAAGACTCACGGAGACAAAGCAGCAGATAGAAAGCTTTAATAGTGTGAATGAAGAACAGTTTTTTTTTTACCAGAAGACGTAGGAGCTGTGAATTGTGACGGTCGTGAACGAGCAGCTTCAAATGAGGATTAAAGACGTCGTCATGCCTAACCCCAGGTTCCCGACACTGGTGGTGGAGTGGAGGCCGAAGGAAGAAGAAAGCTTAAAGAAGCGAGGGTGGAGAAGGGGCGGAGGCGGGTTGTAGCTCAGCTGGTGAGCAGACAGAGCCGTGGATGGAGGGTCTTAGAAGTGAGGCTGATTGGTAGGTGACAAGGTGACCGGAAGAAGCAGGTGAGGTCCAGATTGAATTTACGCCTATTATTCATTTACATGTACTAAGATTAACTAAATGTGGCAGCCGTGAGGTGTTTTACTAACAGAMAGACATGGCTGAACTCAACAATTAATACAAAAGGTTTAAAAAGAGTTCTTGCTTGGTCTGCTAGCACTCAGTAAATGAGTTGGAGAGGAGTCTCAACTACTGCCACACCAAACTTTAGCTCATTTTCTGTAATACTGATGAAGCGTGATGATTTCTGAGTTCACTAAGGTTGATTAGTTGCAGCAACCATCTTGTATTTGGTTGACTCTGATTGTGTGAATGCTTCATTACATTCACACAATTGAGATCATTTTCTTCCAAACATTTGTCGGCATCTAACTTGTCCCAAAATTTTTGTGCTATTTCAACAATTCAAAAATCAAAATGTTCAGCTCCTTTATGAGAGGGGTGATATGACTTTTGGTTTTTCAGCTATTTATACTTTTTTTAACTATTTCACTTCTTTAGCCACTTTTTTGCCATTGAAAATGAATGTGGCTATTTTAAAACACACTTGATTCCTTTAAAATGTTTCTAAATCTTTACAAAACCTTACACATTTTGTTCTGTTCTGCTCTTTTTCACTTTCTTGTGCTATTTTACCTACTTTTTTGCTAATTTTAGCATTTTTCTGCTATTTCAGCAAAAATTCTGCTTCTTTCTGTTATTTTTCTGCCTTTTATGTTTTTTCTACTACTTTGTGCTATTGATGCTTCTTACAGATGTTATACTATATTAAGCTATTTGCTGAATTTTTAGCTAATGTTCAGCTGCTATTAGCTAAAGTTAGCTTATTAAGCTAAAAAAACACATATCTTTTAAAGATATTACAACTTACACTTGTGCTTCTTATGTTCCTTATGATAAATAAAATATTTCCCGCTACTTTTTAGCTGTTTTAATGAAAACCTCAGCTGTTTTGGCTTTTTTAGTACAAATTGTCACTTTTTTGTACTTTTATGCCTTTTTTCTGTTAATTTTAGCTTCTTTTTTTTTACAACACTTTCACTATCTGGGTGCTAATTTCAAATTGTGGCTGCTCCGTTTAGCTTTTTTTCTGCTATTTTAGCTATAGTTCTGCTTTTTTCTATATCTTGTTCTTTTTTCTGCTAATTTTTTCTATACATGCTTCTTACAGACATTTTCAGCTATATTCAGCTATTTTAGCTTTTAGCTGTTTACAGTTGGTTTCAACTAGATTTGTGCTCCTTTTTACATTTTTCTGCAAAGTTAGGCTTTTTTGTTTATTTTTGTATTTATTTGCTTCTTTCAGCTTTTCAAAGTGAGCTCACATTAACACCTGCTACTAAATATTTTCAGCTCAATTTCAGCAGTTTTCAGCTTAAGTTTTCAGCAAGGCTCATTCACACTAGCATTTTCGCAAGAAATACAGTTGTTCTCTACTTATTAATTACTTCTAGATTTAGTGTCATTAAAATCTATTCATTGGTTCTAGACACTTACACAGACACACACACAGACACAGGCAGTTTCGTTGTCGCCCACCTTCTGAGGGATAAAAACAGTTGAAGCCCACCCACCTGAGATCAACTCTGGAGATGTGTGTGAGCCTGGTCCTCCCCGTCCCACAGGGCTCCAGGAGGTACTGCGACTCCAACACGACGCCCCTCACGGCTCCGGTGCGTGGGCTGTCCTCGTGTTCGACAGACTCACACACCAGCACACAGGAGCCTTTGCACACGTCTGCACGCCACGACCTGCGAGGACAGCAGGAAACCCTCTGTTTATTCTGGCTTTGCAAATTCTGACAAATGTGAAATATGTTCCAGTTGAATTAAAAAGGTACCTTAGTACCACGTAGTCACAAATAGGCTGAGGTGCCATGTTACAGCAGGAGTGATAATAGACGTCCGTCTGTTTGTCCAGCGTCTCCAGGACCTTCTCCTGCTGGAGTTCAGCCTGCCACAGGGTGCGCTCTCTCAGCAGCCGCTGCAGCACCTCGCAGGGAGCCGCCGACACCTCGACCGAAACCCGCCACCGCCTTAAAGGGTTACCATCTTCAACCTTAAATATTAAATGGTAACTGTATTAGAAGGTGCTTTAATAATGTTTTTTCCCATTTTCAGAAATTTCAGTGACATAAAATTTAAGTATATAAAAATGAATAACTTATATGTGAAAATTGCAGCCCACCTTTTTAAATGCCAGCTCTGTGTGGTCAGAGGATGGGCGGGACACCCAGCCTTTGCCTTTATCTTTGGCCTCCTTCAGCAGGTTCTGGATTGCCCTTTCTAAGTGCGCATGATAGGAACCCTCCTCGTCCTCGTCTTCCACGTCTTCGTCCACCACTTCCTCCTCGTGACTCTTGCACAGCTCATCCAGCGGGGGCACCATCAGCGCCGCCTCCATGTACGAGTTACGAGACTGGGTCACCATTTCCTCTGGGATCTGAGCAGCAGCCAGAGACAACACGCCACAATGAATCAACTCTGGCATAAAGGCAGTGATCATCAAAACTTTGTCTTTTTAAAAAGTTTAAGTTAGCCTGTTAGCAKGTTAAGGACAAACTCATAGGGTCATGTTGCGCTTGTAGCCATACTGTCCTGAGAAAAACACTTATCCAAAAAACTATTTTACATTGAGTTCACTTTAAAGTGCTCTGAGAATGTGTTGATATATATATATATATATTAGGGGTGCAACGATACAAAAAATACAATACAACACAATCCAAAACAATACAAGTGTGTATTGAACCTAAAGCACTGTTCGATACGGGTACATGTATTGTTGCACCCTTAATATATATACAGTATATATATATTAGGGGTGCAACGATACAGAAAATTTACGATTCGGTTTTCGATACCTTAGTCTCACAGTTCGATATTTTTTCAATACAACAAAAGAGAAATGCCCATGCCCTTTTTAACTTGTAATTTATTTAAATTAATTACGAACATTTATTTAACCTCAAAAGTACAGATTTTAAATTAAATGTTGCAGAAACAGCAAGTTTCTCAGTGGATATGTGCTCAAAAAGCAGCCTAGGTGGAGTAGTCGAACACAGATCCACTGATCCTTTAACACAGAGCATCTTCAGAGGACAAGTTGATAAAGTAAATTTTAAAAATCTGTATTGCTCGATGCAGGTGTGTATTGAATGGTTCGATACGGGTACATGTTGCACCCCTAATATATATATACTTAAATACAAGACAATACAGACATGTTTCAAGCAAAAAAAATATCTTCTCTGGCCATTAAATGAGATATTTTGCAAACAGACAGAACAAAAGACACAGACACAGGCATTTGTATCAGCTGTCCTTTCATGGCTACAGGTGATAAAAAGTCAAATGGAATAAAAACATTAATAACAGCGCTTTGGTGAATTGCAATATTTTTGGTATTTTCAGTTCGACTCTGGTCATTTTTTTTAATTAAAGGAATTCCACTCTTGTGGCTAAAAGGGGGAAATTATTGCCTTTTGCAAAAAAAAATTTAAAAATAGTCATCGAATCACATTAAACTAAAAAAAAGCAGACTAATCAAGTATATTTTCTGTTTCTTACTGCAGCAGAATTTGCTGTGATTTCTGAGGATTCACAGTTTTAGAGCTGAGCTCAGATAGCAGACCAACATGTGACCTTGAATGACAACGACACAGAGGTTTTCATGGTTGGCTGTTAATTTAAAACAACTGAGAGAAGAGAAATAACTCCCTCACTGAGTTTAATCCTGACCTGGAAGAGATGCTGGCACTCGATGATCATGTGTGACAGACCCTGAGTGGCAGCCAGGTTCTCGTTCAGATCTTTCTGATCTGGACGGCCCGTGGTGTACTTCCTCTGAATCGACCTGAAGGAACAAAATAATAATATGCTGAATGAACTGAACCCAGAGACTAAATGTTCATTAAAAGTTTCCCACATGTATAAATGAGACTCCAGCATCGGTTTCTTCCAATGATCCCACCTTGGTGACAGCGTGTCGTTCTTCAGGATGCTGAGGTGGAAGAGCGATGGTCCCAAGCAAACAGCCAGGTTCATCGGGGTCATCTGGTTCTCCTCGACCAGGGAGGTGACATCACGCAGGAAGTAGAGCAGCGTCTGCAGAACCTCCCTGTTTTCATCTGGCATCAGCAAGATGGCTGCTCTGACCGCCTGCAACCTCTGTTCCTTAGGAACATCTGAGTCAAAAAGATAAAAATGAAAAAGAGACATAAAGGATCGAAGACTACAGTAAATTTGTGAATTCTGTTTTACACTGAGCGCTGCTTCWGCTACAATACAATTCATTAGTGCAGAAAAGAGACATTATAGCTGTTATTTTGTTGGTTGGATCATTTCTTTACATACAGAACTGTTAAACTTAAAGATTAAACTGAAGAAATGGGAACAAACCATATTGTTACTAGCTAGTTAGCTAAAAATTCCATTTGAAATTGACTCGCCTGATTTTATGTAATGACGCAACATGGGTTAATTCCTTTTTATGTCTAAATTATTTACAGATTACAGTTAAGCAGTTTATCAAACAAAAACCATTACTTAGGACTGAAAATAATGAAAAAAATAAGGATTTAAGAAGATCTGGCTTCTTGGAAACAAAAAAATAAGGGATTAATCAGTTTTTTTAGCAGTCCTACACAAAGTACAAATTGTTTCAGTGTGCCGAAGAAACATTAAAAGTTAATTCTTGATTTTTAAAAAAAACATCCATAGTTCCCAAAGACAAGTAATTTGTAATTTTTGTCGTAATTGTCATAGGAAAATCAAAAACTGCATTAAAATGCCTTAATAATAGTTGTTGTTTCTTTGTTTGTTTGTTTTTTAACCATAAATCAATCAACAATAGTTTGGTTTCTAAGTCTCTTTTATTAATATTCTCTGGGTTACAAGAAGAAAAAACAGACAGACTAATAAAAACAACTGTTCACTCCCCTAAGGCAACTTACACTGGTAAATATGCAGGAAGGTTTCCCCCAGCTTGCTCGTAAGCAGGGGCTCGGGCAGATCCCTGAAGAACTGCTTGACCATGTCGGCCACGTCGTAAGCCGACTGGTCCTCGTAGCTCACATAATCGGGACTGAACTCACACTGCTGCCTCAGAGCCTGAATGCGAGACTTCACGCCAGATTTACGGAACAAACCCACCTGAAAGACAAACAATAAAAAAGACCCAGCAGAGTTATTAAGGGTGGGATGAATACGATGTTAACTATAGTGGAAGCTGTTTTCTCACCTGGTCCAGACAGTGAGTTCTGAGGTGGCAGAGGGCTTGCTGTAAACACAGGGGGAGAGGAAACCCACAGCGCTGGACATGGACAATAAGGGGAACACCAAACACACTCTTCTCTTTGTAGTCTGGCACCTTCATACGCTTCATAAACTTTGGCACAGACCTGCCAGCAACAAACAGAAAACAATTAAGGAAGTGTGTGTGTCTATGCCTTCATTTCCCCACTCAGCATATAGACACTGGTCAACAGGATTTCCCTCCAGGGCTCAATCAAAATAAACAGGTCTGGGTGTTAATGACAAAGGGATGTGCTTTTGGCTACTGGCTGACTTGAGGGTACGTGGTTAAGAACTGTACTTCAGTTGCAGACAAACACAAACTCACTGATGTTCTGCCAAATATCATAGGCAAAGGTGTTAATTGAGCATATGGTCTTGCTGATTAGGAGCTGCCATCATGCTGAAAGGCACCTTAAAAATAACTGAGAAAAAGCACGCAGAGACCGTCACGTGTGTGTCAGAGAACTATGTGAATGTATGCAAATTAGCAGTGAGATTTAGAAAAATGCACAAGGGGCACCACCTGAAACCTCGCCCAAGGTGCCAAATTGTCTAGGGCCTCTAAAAGTACAGTAGTGTGAGTGTGTAGCTGTGTGTACCCACCACGACCAGCCGTGTTTGTTCGACATCGAGTATTTCTCCATGATGGCGGTGAGGTGAAGCAAAGAAAACTTCTGCAGCAGGCTCAGCTGGCCTGCTGACTGGCTGCTGATCTGCAGGGAAGATGCTGGCTGGTTGAGATGATCTGAGGTTCGGAAACTGGGCCATCGTAGACTGAGATGGGTCAGCAAAACAAACAGACAGTGACTCAGTTCATGTGTGAAAGTGTTAGTTCTTGGTCATATTGTAGTTTTAGACTCTTTGTTTTTCAGATAATTGCCAGGATAAAAGTTTTAACTAATGAAAACTGAAGTTATCATCTTTTGAAAGCTGTAACAGCAACTCACCGAGGTCTGGTGAGGGAGGCCCCGACTCCAGAGTCCCGTCTCTCCCGACTGGTCCCCGTTGAATCTGTGTCGTTTAAAGAGACCCCGTCCCGCTCACCTTCGCTGGGGGTGGTCCTGCCCTCCCCTTCTTCCTCCCCTGTTTCCCCCTCAGGCAGCACATTGCGGCTCCAGTGGTCCACTATCTGCTGCAAACCACTGACGTGCTGGATGATGTCGTCCAGGTGAGGAAAAAGGTTGTCCTCTTTCTCCAGGTCCAACAGGTCTCCAGTGCTGGCGTACAGGTGTGAGCCTGGTACGTTGTCGTAGACGCTCACCCTGCTGCCCCGTGGAGCTGCAGGACAACCTGGTTTTGACAACAGTTTACCGGACCAGGGCTTGCCCGGGCCATTTTCTGTTTGAGCACACGACTGGGGGCCATTGTTGCTGTCGCTGGGAGAAGGTGCCAGGCTTTCTATGGACAGGGCTTTGGGAAAAGTGCCCGGTTTATGGTCTTTGGGGATGTGAATGAGGAGGTTTTCATATGAATGGAAGTGGTTTCTACCAAAGTGGCTCTGCCCTTCAGTCCTCTTACCCTGAGAAGGTAACTCCATGTCCTCCAGATACATGCTGCTTCTCTTGCTGGCAGTGCGGGGTTTTGTGCATGCAGGTTCCTGAACATTAAGAAGTGTTGCCTCATTGCTGGGGCTCACACTCGTAATTTGGTCTTTACTGTCGTCATTAACAAAAACAGAGGAATCATCACCGTCATCTTGATTGTTGTCTTTTGGACTACTTTGTAATTGGCTGATTGGAGTGCATTGAAGCATCTGAAGTGCCTGAGGCTCCTCCCCCTGCAACACCGGCCCGCTGATGACCAGTGGTGGCCTCCGACTTGAGCTTTTCCTCCTTGTCGATGGACCCCAAGTGCGCATTAGTTCCATTCGGCGCAGAAACTCTTTGGCTTTATTCCGCCCTCCTTGCCTGTGGCGATTGCCTTTGATTGGCAGGGAGTTGTAATGTGGAAGTTCCCTCGGYGGCTGGTAGGAAGCGGAGAGGGACGCCATGGATACTGAGTCGGGCAAAGCAGAGGCGGAGTCTTCGCTGTGGAGCGAGGAGGTTTCTGTGATCTCCTGCTCGCTCAGGTCCGTTAGAACGCTCTCGCTGCTCACCGTGCTGTGAAGACCCTCCCCCTGACCTGTTGGACTGCTCTCATTGGTGCTGTCTGACAGGATGTCTTGTAAGCGAGACCAGCGTCGACTGCTCCACTCAAACGTCCACCTTTTACTGATGGCCAGTGGGTCATCTTCATCTGAGTCATCGCTCTATGGAAGGTAAAAATGAGACATTAGTCACCTTAATAGTTGAGATCTTTTAAAGTGGGCCTGAACAATTAATGTTTTAGTATGGTTGCCAACCGTCCCTTGAAAAACCTACAGAGCCCGCGAGGGGACATGGGAGATTTTTTTTCTTTTGTGTTCCCACACAATACCTTTTGCATTCCCTTGCAAAAGTCATTTATCACTGTTGTGCCTGCCTGTTTATTAACTCATTCACATGTTCACCATTAGCGAGTTACCCTACTACTTCAACTCAGCTTCAGAATGAATATATCACACAGCCACGCATGGAAATATATCATTTGCCGATATTTTAACACAGTACAGTCACGCAACATCAGTGTCAATTTTACGAACTTGTGGCGACACATCCTGTTTTGGTAACCGGATATTTCAAAATAAAAGTCTGATTTAATTCAGTTCATATACAAAACAATCTTTTTCGTGGGAACGCAAAACAATTTTGCGAGGTAACGCAAAAGTATTGCGAGGTAACGCAATAATATTGCGAGGTAACACAATAGTATTGCGAGGTAACGCAATAGTATTGTGAGGTAACGCAAAAGTATTGCGAGGTAATGCAATAGTATTGCGAGGTAACGCAAAAGTATTGTGAGGTAACGCAAAAGTCTTGCGAGGTAATGCAATAGTATTGCGAGGTAACGCAAAAGTATTGTGAGGTAACTCAATAGTATTGTGAGGTAAGGCAAAAGTATTGCGAGGCAACGCAATAGTATTGCATGGGAACGCAAAAGAAAAAAATCCTCCCATGTTCCCTCGCGGGCTCTGTAAAAACCGAATCATCCCTTAATTAGAAACAAAAGTACGTGTCCTATATTATGCTGAAACTGGACAAACTTGATCCTGTATTATCTTGGGAATCAAAAATATTCTTCCCGGCAGAGCTGTCCCGTATTTTGGAGGGGTTGAGTTGGCAAACCTACTTACATGGGGTAAATAAAGTTTTGAGTAACCTCGATTCTCTGACTGATTGATGAGCTAACAGCTGGTTTGATCAAATACTAAAGTGGATCAACTTTAATTTTATAATGCTTTTATAATTACTACAATTTAAGCCTTCATTTAAACCGTTCATTCACATGAAATTATATAGTTATCCACCAATATCAGGAAATACTTTAATTTAAATAATAAAAAGCAAGTGAAGGAAACWTAAGCTGCAGTACAACTTCCCTGAAACCAGACCAGAACCACTTCCYATAAATGCTGCACGAAATGAGCAAAACAGAAACTAAAAGGGTACACACTTGTGATCCTTGACCTAAATGTTAAATTGTACACATTAACTGAAGTACAACTTCCTTTTACAGTGGTCTTGCTACATCTACAAAAACTAAACTTTCTCATCTGTATCTGTCAGCATTTCTCCTCGTGGGTCAATGGAACTGAAGGAAGATGAGATCGAAAGATCATAGCAAACTATAAGTAGGTGGAAACACAGTTGCAGCTTTAATCATGGACTTCAGAGGGAATCAGAGTACGGTTTATTTGAGCTACAGTGGTTGTCTTCAAAGTTGACACCATAAACTGTAAGCTACTTGTGCAAATTAGTATTGAGACACAGATGGGCTCATTCTTCAATTGTGGTACAGAGTTTATTGGAAATGATAAAAAATAAGAGTTTAAACAGAAACTCAGACATCAACTTCTATAAACAGCATCCAAAAAAAACTTTACTTGCTTCTTTATTTGCTCCTTAGTTAAAAACGTTATGCTAAGAAAATTAATGCAACTTCTCTCTTTTTCATTTATTAACATTTAGGTGATATTTTAAGTTGTATTCCTTTACATGTAAATAAGTAAAATAAAAACACTTACTTTCTTCTTAGGATGACTGATATCAAGTTTCATGGAGGCGCACTTGTTCAGAGTATTTAAACGTCTGCAACACATACAGAGACATGTTGGCATCAACACTGTTCAGATTTATAATTTGTTTTTTATAAACATTTTTTATTCTAGGCTGTAAAACCTCTCAYTTTAACTCTATAATCTTGCATTTTAGAAACCACCCTCCCCCTTTAATTCCTGAGTCTGATTAGTCACAGTCAGGGGGATTCCTTTTTAATTTTCTTTTTTAATCTTTTCTGACTCTTTCATCCTTACTTCCTCACTTTGCCTCTTTCCTCGAGGCCAACACAAAAATGAGTATAACTCAATTTTACAAATATAGAGTTGCATTCATGTGTGTGTGTGCACATTAACATTAATGCATGTTTTTAATCCAGTTGTGATTGTTTGAAATTTTCATTGTGATCTCCAAGGAGTGTGTGGATCAACTGGAGATCAGCAGGCACAGGAACACTCACAGTGGATCTACCCAATGCCAATTTGAATTGTTTTCAGCTTCTTCAAAACTACTTTGCTGAAACGTTTGCAGTGCTCAGCTGAAGTCCAAGGGGACCCTTTGGGTTTTTCCACATTTCACAACATCTTTAAGACCGGCAATGAAGGTTGTAGCCAGGTCTGGGTAGAGCATCTTTGTTAATTGACGACTAGCAAGTAAAGGCAAAGGACGCAGAAAGGACATTTTGACTGAACTTTAAAAAAAAGGAGCAGCATTTAAGAAGCTTCCACCTGACTCACCAGAGAGGGGATTACAGAGGAAGTGAAGGGACGGTTTTACAGCCTACCCAGACYGTGGCCCATAGAGGCTACATGTTGGCAGTCTGTGTAGGCTGCGAAATGAGACTGTCTATTTTCATGAACATGCACTACCTCATTACCATGGTGTAAGCTTTATATTACACGTTACATGCCTTTAGACTTGTAATATGTTAGGTCATGTATCCATCCATCCATTGTCTGTACACGCTTATTCCTTTCAGGGTCGCGGGGGTCACTGGTGCCCATATCCAGCAGTCAGTGCGAGGGGCGGGGTACACCCTGGACACGTCGCAAGTCCATCACAAGACATGACAGGCATTCATGTCTTGTTATTTGTTATGTACTATGAGGAGGTGCAGAAATGTCCTTGCTTTTGTCTGATGACAGATGAATATAGACTTGATGGACTTGATTTACAGGCTCGGTGGCTGATGAAGCTGCCACACAAACATCTGCCATCCTCATCACCAGTGGTGGGCACCAGTCTGCTAAAGAGCAAATCTGCTAATTGTGGACCTAAATATTTCATTTGCTCTTCAGTGGTCTTACTAATTTTTATAATTCATAAGTGGATTTGCGCTCTACTAAAATTAACATGCAGTAACGGTGATAATTAATTATCTACCAGTCATCATTATCTTGAACAGTGGAAGGTGTGGCTATCAATGAAACACAATACGTGATCTATCCAACAGCACCCCTCCCAGATAAACACACTTACTGGAAACATATRCATCCTTGCTGACTGTTGCTTTCAGTCACGGGTCTCATTTCCCACAATGCTTTGTGTCTGCTTACGTAGCAGGAAGGCAATGTTTAGAACTCCCTTTCCCAGCAAAAACAGTAAATGTTTGTAATCCATACTAAAATTTTGTATGCATTGATTTATTTTACTTTACAATCGGAGCTCCTTTTTTTAAAAAAAGTTTAAACGCTGGAGCTCAATACTTGACATAATTGGTCGAAGCAATCGGACAACAAGGTTAGACAGACATCTAGTGGTCAACTGGAGCAACTACATGGAAAACTTTCATTTCCCGTCACAAATCAAATCCATCATATACCCAGAATGCATCACTTCAGTTTTCCAATAAACAGTTTTAAAATTACTTTATTGATGCTTTTTTTAATGAAAAATMTACAACAAACAAAAGAAAAAGACAAAGAAGCAGCCGAACTAGCAATCCTCAACAACTTTTTAATTTTTACACCAGGAGCCAAAGGTCTGTTTCAGGAAATCACATCCCCAGCAATCGGTGGTTGTAGGATTTAGTTGTACAAGGGTCATACACTGCTAGTTGGCAGYGTTGTACATATATGGTACATAAATTGTTATCAGCTAGTAAGTGTCAAATTGAACTTGCGCTTTAAAATTAGCTTCCACTAATTTCTATGGCATAAGCGCATTTGAAGTTGTGGTCCTAAATTTTTACGTAAGCGCTAAAGAAATTGCGGAGCTAATTTTTGGGTTAGCACTGCCCACCACTGCTCATCACATACTCCAAACAATAACAGATCTCATGAGATCATGCATGAGGATTGTGCATAACGTAACTTACAAGGTTTTTGACGAAACCTCTATCTCATCACACAAAGATCTTAGTTTAAAACTGTGGCATAAAAGTTTATGGTTTTATTCCCTTTAAGGATTGCTAGGCCTTTAATCTAACCCACACTGGTGTAACAAACTGCGTGAGGTCAGATACGTGTTCTCTTGAAATACAAAAGTTATCACTGCTGTAATTACCACACCCATGGAAAGGAAAGTGTTGACAACAAAGAAAGCAAAAAAAAAAAAGTTAAGACAAAGTGAATGTTCAGGACCAGAGAAGGAACATTTTCATGGAACAGGAAATGCAAGAATTAGGTCCCAGGGGCGTGTAAAACATTCTAAACCCCATCAGCAGGAATATGCTGGCATCCAATAAGTCCCTTCCCCCTCACCCGCCCAGACACACCCCTCTGTATTTTGCCCCCCGAGGGTCTCTTCTTTTTGAATAGGAGATCAGAGCGTGGCAGAAGGGAGGGGAGGTGACCAGATCAAAGCCTGGGTTTCGAGGGGTGGGGGAGTTTATTAAGACCAGGGGTCAGACATCTAATGTCAGCRCCAGGGAGTGGGGACAAGTCGGTGTACTGAATACAGAGGAGAGAAGAATTAACTGGTGCTGAAAACGCACTGGAAGTGGATCAGGTTTGGAAAGCGTCCTTACCGACACAACGGCTCAACCAGATCCCGGTCCAGGAAGTCGTGGTCCCTTTTGACTGAGGAAATATCGATTGGAAACTGGGAATCTGTGACAAAACAGAGGGGGGCAATAGGTTTGGTGGTTAATGACTGACACATGACAGGAGATAAATGCTTTCTCAGCTGGTTAGCAGTTAATGAAGTCTGTGAAGTGTGGTCCAGCTGCTACCACCAAGACCCTGCCATAAGCTTGCAAAATATATCATTTTATTAGTCAACAGTCACACGCAGCATCACAGAAAAGGCACATAAAATCTACATAAAAAATATTATCATACATCATACACATACATCACATTACAAACACAAGTGTATTATTTGTGATTAAAATATCAAGATTTTTTATCCTAAATTGCTAACAGACAGCGCAACAAAAATTACTTTAAATTTTTTTAAACACCAATATTTTCATTAACTCGAGTGAGCAGGTAATATGTTGATGAGTGTTTTTAATCTCATGCAATTATCTGATATACTATGACTTTGTAATGTAAATCTTATGTGCTGTTTCTGTGATACAATGTGTGGCCAATAGCAATTATACAATTTGTAAACTTTTGTCCTATTTTTTCATGAAAATGTGAGTTTTTTTCTTGTTAACGCATGTCAAGGCTCATCTACGACAGGTAAGATAATGCTTTTTATTTTTCACAGAACGCCAATTTCAAAAATGTAAATAATCTATTTGACATAATTTAAACACAAGCATAAAAGATTCAAGTGTTTTGTTTTGCTAGTTCCCTTTGTTCTGAAGGCAGCAAACATCTACAACCAGACAAAACTGGATCTAAAACTTTCCTCAGAGTAACACTTGTGATTTCTGCTAAACAAAGGCTGTTAGACTTTGCGTCCTTTTTTTATTGCTTGAGTCATTTCCTGTTTATTCTTCAAGTATGAGACCTCATGACCATCGCATGAGCAAACGTCTGTACGTTTACAGAGATAAGAAAGAGGCCAACAGGGAGAGGGCTGCAGGATAAAAGAGTAAAAGTCGGACGCATTTTAATAAAGAGATGGAGAAGAATTAGAAAAGTTATGGCTGATTACAAGAAAAAAGGTAGGAGGTAAAAAAATCATAAATTAAAAAAGAGGGAGAAACGGGAGCTATGAGAGTCCCAGCAGCGACAACAAGGCCTTTCCCATGACCCCTCCCTCTGGAGAGGAACTGAAGCCTGGAAATAGAACGCAGCGGCCAAAAAGACGGGTGATGTAAAGATGGAGAGACGGCAGGAAGAGAGAAGCAAAGATGATGGAAAAATAAGTGAGAGGACACTAAGGACTGAGAATAAACAACAAACATATTTTCAAAAAAAGAGATGAAATGAAACAAAGTAGTTGTGGGTCTGTGTGTGTGTGTGTGTTACCTTCATAGAGCTGTGCATATTGTGGAAATCCCGCCGCTCGAAGCCAATCACAAGCTTCCTTCGCCTCAATCTCTGTAAGCAGAAAAAAAAGCAGTGCATCATTCTAAATCCACACATCTGAGGTGTCAATCTGTCACCCATTTGTGCTAAATTTTACAACTTACAACCCAAACGTCAAGCAAAAGCACAAATAGTTCATCCTTATAAAGAAATATTTTTTAGARCACAAAGAAGGACGGCACATTTGTCTTCTGGGAAATCACGAGAATGATGAGACTGGAAAAGCTGCAGAAAAACAAACCCAGTTTCTTCTGTAATCACACATTATGTCCACACAGATACACTCAGCGAGTAATGGGTAAATGTAAACAGGCTTTCCACACTGAACCACAGCCCATTAGGCCCAGCCGCCAGCACCAACAGACATTTTACGGGCTTCTGTTTTATGGCTTTTTTCCACTAACATATGTATCACACACATCTTAAAGTGGCAGCTCTGATTGGTTTGTTTTTTTATGAGCAGAAGCTGCTTTTTGTGCTGACAAAGACTTGAACTGTATCATCTAACTGTTTAGTTACTTAAAAGCAACATACAAGCTTAGAAAATAATGTGTGTGCAAATACAATAAAGGTTTTGTGTCAATATATGTCTTTTGTGCTTAAATTATTTAGGTGATATTATAAAAAACACAAAAGATAACTAATTTTGACACAATATAGTACTTTACAGGGGCGGAGCTAGAATTTTTTTGCAAGAGGTGGCACAGGGGTGACCAAAGATTTTTTTTAGGGGGGGCACATGCAAATAAAAAAGGCACCCTGGATTTGAAAATTCTAAATTGCTGCCACAGTTAATTCCAAACTGCTTCAATTCAGCTGTTTTGGGAAACACTGAGCTGAAATTGTGTGTGATTGTAGCAAAAAACTTCAAAGAAATAAGCTGAATGCTGGTCGCAACTTATTATTCTGCTGTTTTTAGATACACACACAGCTGAGGATTAGTGTAGACGTCCATCCATCCATCCATTTTCTTCCGCCTRTCCGGGGTCGGGTCGCGGGGGCAGCAGCTTCAGAAGGGAGGCCCAGACCTCCCTCTCCCCAGCCACTTCTTCCAGCTCCTCCGGGGGAACCCCAAGGCGTTCCCAGGCCAGCCGAGAGACATAGTCCCTCCAGCGTGTCCTGGGTCTTCCTCGGGGCCTCCTCCCGGTGGGACGTGCCCGGAATACCTCACCAGGGAGGCGTCCAGGAGGCATCCTTACCAGATGCCCGAGCCACCTCAACTGGCTCCTCTCAACGTGGAGGAGCAGCGGCTCTACTCTGAGTCCCTCCCGGATGACTGAGCTTCTCACCCTATCTCTAAGGGAGAGCCCAGCCACCCTGCGGAGGAAACCCATTTCGGCCGCTTGTATCCGGGACCTCGTTCTTTCGGTCATGACCCAAAGCTCATGACCATAGATGGGGGTAGGAACGTAGATCGACCGGTAAATCGAGAGCTTCGCTTTCTGACTCAGCTCTCTCTTCACCACGACGGACCGGTACAGCGCCCGCTTTACAGCAGACGCTGCGCCAATCCGCCTGTCGATCTCCCGCTCCGTTCTTCCCCCATTCGTGAACAAGATCCCCAGATACTTAAACTCCTCCACTTGAGACAGGGCGACCCCCCTGACCCGGAGAAGGCACTCTGCCCTTTTCCGGCTCAAGACCATGGCCTCGGATTTGGAGGCACTGAGCCTCATCCCGGCCGCTTCGCACTCGGCCGCGAACCGCTCCAGTGAGAGCTGCAGATCACGTTCCGATGAAGCCAACAGGACCACATCATCCGCAAAAAGCAGAGATGCGATCCTAAGGCCACCAAAACGGATCCCCTCAACACCTCGGCTGCGCCTAGAAATTCTGTCCATGAAAGTAATGAACAGAATCGGTGACAAAGGGCAGCCTTGGCGGAGTCCAACTCTCACCGGAAACGAGCCCGACTTACTGCCGGCAATGCGTACCAGACTCTGACACCGGTTGTACAAGGACCTGACAGCCCGTATCAAGTGGCCCGGTACCCCATACTCCCGGAGAACCCCCCACAAGGCCCCCCTTGGGACACGGTCGAACGCCTTCTCCAAGTCCACAAAACACATGTAGACAGGTTGACAGTGTAGACGTAGATGATAACAATCATTACCAAATTCTAAATGCTAATCAAAATTCAAGATGGCCATCTCAGCTAGTTTTAAAAGACTTATTCAACCATTTTAGGATATAYTGAGATGAAATTTGTTGTAGAGTAGCTAAGAATGATACTGATTACCGATGCAAATTTCAAATTAAGCTAGCAACTAATGATTATTTTACAACAGGCTAAAATTCTGCAATTCTTATAGCTAAACCATGTATATAATACAGTAGAATCAGAGAATAATCTTTAATATGATCTAAATGCAAATTCAAAATTCACCCCCATATTTGTCAATTATTTGGGGTGGCACCTGGTTAGCCACTCCTCTGGCACCGCCCCGGTACTTTAGCATCACCAAGGGAAACCGATCAACTGATGATCCTGTCTGCGTCGGCCTTTGTTGAACTTTTTTTATATTTCTTAAAGATATGACTTTTAGAGACTGTTCATGCAGACAAAGACACTTTTTAGTCCACTGTTCTTATTTTGAAGCTCACATTACCCTGTTACACTTTCATACCCAACAAAAACGGAGTGAAAATGAAGCAAATGTGAAAATAAATAGATGAAACAACTTTGAAAGACATTGAAAATGTTGTTTTGCCTTTTTTTGTATTCTTTTAAATTGAAAATCGGAATGCAAAGTATAAAAAGCTGGCCTCGAAGTGGAGGTACAAAATGTCAAAACAAAATTTTAACTAGAGAATCTAAATTTCCTGCAAAACTGCAGTTTCAATACTTACTCCTGAAAGATTTTGCTGAATAGCTAAAAAAGCTAAAACTAGCCTAAAAATTGTTTTTTTAAAGTAGCTGAAATTAGCACAAAGAAACAGTTGGCTAAATCAAGCAGTAAGAAGCTTAAATTATCACAAGGTGAAATCAGCTTAAAAAAGCTTGAATTAAATAAAAAGTAGCTAAAGACAGAAAACATCTGAAATTAGAAAAAGCATGAAAAGCCTAAAATAGCAAAATTAAGCTGAAAAAAATAAAAAAAAGGTTTTAAATTAGTAGAATAGCAGAAAAGGTTAGAATGACAGCTAAAAACGCATCAGCAAAATAAAAGCCGAAAGAAGCCAAAATTAATACAAGAGTTAAAAAATGGAACCAGGTCTAAATGTGAAAAGTACAGTAAAGGTTTGTGAACATTTTAAGGGTTTTTTTTTTAAAAGATGATGAAGACAGTCTAGCAATTACATCCCCTTTTCCAACATTCCTCTCATAACTCTTCTCTCTAAATCACTTACAAAGCAATTCATTTCCATTGAGAAAAGCATGGCAAAAAAGGTAAATATCTTGAAAAGTATAAATTGCTAAAATACCAAAAGTCATAGCCAAAAGGAGCTGATTGATTTGTAATGGTTGAAACAGCACAAAAATTACAAATGGAGATRCGTGCCGAAAAACGTACAAATGAAAATTGATCTCAAGTGTTGCCGTTCTACAAAATATATTGTAACATTTCCTTTAGAAACTTAGTCACACACAGAACTCTGTCGACACCCACTCATTCACTCTCACTTGTCACATTCACAAGTTTGTCAAATTACAGCAGAATAAAAAAAGGTCTGTGTTCTTGCCATCGGTGATTAGAAGAGTTAGAGGAAATGACACTGTCACCACAATCTAGCAATTACATCCCCTTTTCCAACATTCCTCTCATAACTCTTCTCTCTAAATCACATATGAAGCAAGACGTGGAGATGTTATTCTGAAACTAGACTCAGGAGATGGGAGGAAAGAGAGATTTTTCTTATGGAGACTTACTGGAAGCCCTCATGGTGAGGGGTCAGTGATGCTCCTGTGACTCTGCGGCACATCCATCCGATCTCTTCCTCATCAACGATTCAGCACTTTCCTCCTCGCTGTCTCTTCCAACCCCATCTGTTTACAGCTCTGCCTCCTTCGTCCAGCCTGCTGCATGCAGGTTTTCTCTCCCCTCTAATTTTCTACTCAACCTCCTCGCTCTCATGTTCACTTTTCAATCGGATCCACGTACAATATCCCTCTTCTTTCTTCTGGTAAACTTTCTAAATGATTCCCTTTTGTCATCTTGTTCTTGTTTCCTTCCCTTTTAGCTATATATTCGCTGAAATAATCGTTTTTAACACTTGCCTTGCTCTTTTTTCTTCTGCTCCCACCCTCTCTTTTTTTCACTCCCTCACAATCTTTCTGTGAAACGAAAACACTCCCTTTCACGTTTTCTTTCATCCACTGGCGGAAACCTCTCGATCCCCCCCATTAGCTCCTACAAGTAAGTCTTCTGTGCCTGCACCAGAACATCCGTGGGCCCGTCAGGTCCACGCAGGAAATGACTCATTTCAGCTGGTGTTTGCATCAGCCGGACCCTTGAGGTCCCAGGACTGACAACCGCTGGACCCTCGCTTCACATGTCAGCTGCTGAAGCTTGGTGCTGCTTCACTGGATAAATGTGTGAGAGAATCCAGCACGCACACACACACACACACACTGAACCGCAGGATGTTTTAAATAGCCCAGATGTTGCCCCCAGTGAGTCCAGGAATGCAAAAAGATGAGATAGTCAGACGACAGCAGGGGTGGGGAGGATGGACGGACCTTGTGGGAAAACCGCAGGGAGGACGGCATTCCACTCAAACTTGTTTATTTACTSAACGTCAGATTATAAATTTACTCAACTCTTTAGAGAGAGAGAGAAAAGAAAAGCTGGAGAAAATTAAAGGCCTAGCGCTCCATGGAAGAATGCACGTCACCCACCGCCTTTCATACAAATGTCATCTTGTAGTGAAAAACTGTTGCCACTTTGGTCAAACCTTAAAAATAACTTAGTGCACAATCCCATCCGATATCGCGAGAATAACTTACAAAATGAGCCATTTTTCAGTTGCTATTATTGACTGTGTCCAAATTCAGAGGCTGCATCCTTTGA